AGTGTTACATCATGGCGACACCTTCCGAACTTCGTGTGAACGAGCCCACCGACGGCGATATCCATCAGGCAGCAGGAGAGTGTGACGAAGCACGGGGCCAAGTGCTGGAACAATTTAGACCATCATTCATAGAGTCGGCTGGAGCATTCAATACTCCTAATTCATTAGCCAGTGAATTGAAGAAGGCGAGGATCTATAAGGGCCGAGTTCGTGGCCAGTTGGGGCGCCTTGAAGAACAAGCTGGTAACATCATAATCAACAACGAGGAGGACGAGGCGCTGGTTGCTCAGCTAGGCGAACAAGAAGAACAGCTTCGAAGGGTGCTTGACGAAGCTGGTGCCTACGTCGTCGCGCTCGAAATGAGGTATGACGAGATTAATGAACAAAATTCTCGCCGGATGGCGGGCTCTCGCGTGTTCAATTCGGCCGGGTCAATTAGATCCAGTTATCTGCAGTCGAACATTGATGCTGAAGAGGATTACCGACCATTACCTCGGGATCGAGTTAGTCCCAGAGCATCGTTATCAGAGAGTCAACGACGTCAGCATGCCCAGCCATTGCTCTCGAGACGCCCCGAGACTGTAAACGGGATGCCGATCTCGGATCACCGTGGGGTCCAAAGTTTTCATCTGACCCGACCACTAGTTAGATCAAGAGCAAATGAGAATGATCCACTTCCTGTCATACCTCCCAGTCGTCCTGCAGTTGTGACCGGCCTTCCCGATCTCGGACCAGAGGATTCTGCTTCCGCGATCCAGAGGCCGTTCTACCATCATCGAATGCTCCCGCAGAGTTATGCTGAGAATCCACGTAAACAGCAATTAGTAGGGCCTGCCTTATCGGCTCAGCCCTTTTGCGATGCTGGTACCATCGGGAAATTGAGTATTGGTAATTTGAAAGATATATTTCGCGTTACCGCCCATATTAAGAGAGTCGAGTCTATCCTTGCGGAAGCAAATGCAGGAAGGTTCATTGATGGACAATTCCTACCGCACGGTCATCTATCTAATGCTTGCAAGGAAAAACTCGTTGGTACTCTCAAAGATATTCCCAAGTGCCACGAAGAAGCTGATAAGGCTTGTGATATTGATGGTTCTACATGGTTCACGGTCACAAAAGCACTGAAGGATCAGTTCGCTAGGCGAACAGTTCTCACGGACGAGTTGGATATCCGTTTGAAAAAGCTCAAGTTCTCATCAGCCAAGCAGGTTGACACTTTTGTCAAGGAGGCCACTTCTATTGCGGACCTCTATCGAGTTGTCTATCCCGATGATCGTGCTCAAGAACTTCATCTCGTCAGAAAGGTTGTATCATGTTTGCCTAAGGACGTAGCTATAGGCGTCATTAGGCGGTGTAAGAAGGCCGGACGTGGTGATTCAGAGCAAGATTGGGAGACTTGTGTGCCTTTCTACTCTCCTACCGGTAGAACCAGAGAAACTGTCGTCGAGTTCATTCGGGCCGAGTGCAGACTATCCGAGGAATTCGGTAGTCTTCTCAGTCTAAGGCCTGATGGTCGTGATGGTGGGCAGGACTCAGTGCGTGCCATTCACTCGAACGATGGTCGGGCTGGCAAAGATAAGGGCCAGGTTGACCGAGGAGAGTCGTTGCCGAATTTCGTTTCACGATTCTCGATAGTATACGGCATCACCGGCCGTGGGTGTAGAAATGAGAGTCATCTTCGGTCCTTGGTGGGCGCTGATGGGATGATTCCGAGATTTAATAAGCAGGGCATGAAGTACTTCTTCGTCGGATACAAAGACAAGGAAACCGGCTCTGCGAAGGTGAACGCACTTCCTAAAGACCAATTCCGGTCTTGGGAGTTCCAGTTCAAGGAGAAACCGAAGCAGGAGGCGCCACTGCCTCCCAAGTCGGGAAACTAATTGAGGTGAATGATGGGGGCGAATCCTTGCAGGTAGCTATTCCCCCCGGACGCCCGATTGAGGCAACCTGCTGTATATCAAATTCTGTATCTGATGGTGTTACTACTGCCAATGGTGTACTGATTGCAGATGACCAGATAAGGGCATTGAGTAACCCACATCTCCCTAATGAGATTCATCTCAGTGCTTCTCTGAAGCATCTGGGGCCTGACTCATCATCTGTTTTCCCCGCTGTTTGTATTGTTGATACTGCAGCCGATGGTTCCTATCTTTTGGTGCGAGGCTTAGCTGATTGTGCAGACTTGTCACTTGATAGCACCGCTCCATTATCTATATCCTTGGCTGATGGCACAGTCACAAGTGTCCGCCACAGCCTATCGTGTGCTATAGCCGTCTTCACGTCGGATGGTTCAGAACTAGCTTGTGATTATCAGAGATGTAATCTGAGGGTTCTTGTATGTTCATCAAGCTCATTCGAGGGGCACTATAAAATCCTCGCGGGGCGCGAGCTCATTGATCAATGGGGGTTGGTTCTCTATGGTGTTCGTCGCGGGTTCATCAATGGTAAGTCTGTCTACCAGAATGATGTTGTTGGCGACGAGTTGCATTGCCCCGACGACGTTGTTCTACGACTCCTCGAGTCGGGCGGTTCGGTCGATGACATGCTTTGCCACCTCACCTCATCTTCTGGTATTGACGCTTCTCCAGAGTCATCTGTTGATATCAGCGGGATTTTGGTCCCTAAGCTGACGGAAGAGGAGAGTGCATGCGTCGACAGGTTATTGAGTTCTATCGTGAACGAAGGGTGGGCGCCTCTCCCCCGCACAAATCAGGCCTATCATAGCCGTGTGCGGAAGCTACTGCCGTGTGAGTTCGTGGATCTTCCTGGTGTGCAGACCCATGTCTGCGAAATTCGTGTTCCCGAACCACGGACATCGACTGGTCGTGAGAGTTCATATGCACGATCATTATATCTTCGTCTATCAGAGGAGCTCAAGCGAGAGTACTCGAGGTTGGTCTCCGAATATCTAGCTTCCAACTGGTGGGTTCCCGTTGCTCGTGAAGCGGTTGATTTACAACGGCAGGGTCAATCACGTGCAGCCGCCCAGGTATTTCTCATTCCCCCAAATGAGGCCCGTCGGAAAGCCAGATTGGTGGTAGATTTCAGAGGACTGAATCGTACTCTGCCTTTGGCGGGTAACGATCAGCCTCCGATCTCCTTTATCATTGGTGCCTTGAGAGCTGAGTCTCGAGAGTGTATCACTCTAGCGGACGCTCGCTCCGCATTCTATAAGTGTAGACTATCAAACACTACGTTACTATTGGAGACGGGTGACAACCTTGATGTGTTATTCCAGAGCATTAGAATGTGCTTCGGGGTGGTTTTCGGACCTTCCGGACTTAGTGGCAGCTTGGGTCGCATTGGTGGTTTTGTGAGAGCGTGCGGTCTCCCAGTTGCTTTACTCTGTCTAGTGCTCTTGTTTATATTTGTTGATGATCTGTGTGTGTCTGGACCCACCAGAGCCACCATCATCCAGTTTAAGCTGTTGCTGTCGACCCTTGTGAAAGCGGGATTCGATGCACAGCTTAAGAAAGTGTTCGTCTTGTGTGCCGACCGATGTCGAGACGAGCTTGAAGGATGCCTACGAGAGGCTGGTCTAGATTTAGAGATCGCCAAAGAAGGCACCCTTCTAGGTGTTAAACTGAGTTTCCAAGGGGAGCACCTGCTCCTCAGCTGCGATCGATCGCGACGTATCGCCCAAGTAGTCACATTCTTGACGAACCTTCGCAGAAGGGAGGTCACTACGAAACGTTGTTGCTTCAAGTGCTCGGGTTGTCTAGCCTTTGATCCAGCACAGCAACACGTTTGGGCACGTGTATGTGCAGATGGACTTCGAGCGTTGGTTGGTAAGGTCTATGCCAAGGTTGAGTGGTCAATGACCACTGGTCATCATCTATTGATCTGCGTGCGCTCAATGGTGATGCTAGGTCTGCTCTTGATTGCATACTTCACTGGATGAATGAACTATGCTCGGAGACCTGCGATCATTCATCCCCGGTTCGCTTTGACGATCGTTCGAGCTTAGAGTTAGAGGCTGTTTGTGATGCGTCAAACAGTGGAGGCGGGTACGTGATACGCACTACAGATGGTACTGTCATTCTCTCAAGTGCAATTAGATGGCGCAGAGGAGAACGTTTATGGCATAGTAATAGAAGGGAGCTTTGCATGTTGTTGCGAATGCTCCAAGATCTGGGTGATTTCTTACAATTCCGTCAGAAGAGTACTTGCGGATTGGCCAAGAAGCCATCGGTCACAGTGCTGTGTGATAACAAATCTTGTGTCCTTTGGTCAAGAAACTGTGATAGTCCCGAGATAGTTGAAGCGTCTCGAGCGGTTGAACGTAGGGCCATTGCTCGTCTGCTGAGCGGACTTCATGCTGAGTTGGGCGTGCTGAGATCTCTGTGCTCTTTGACCATATCTCACTTAGCTGGTAACCAGAATCAATTAGCTGACTCATTGTCAAGGGCTTACGATAGGGTGACTCCTAATGGTAAAAGCCTAGCTGACTGTTTGGTTGGTGTTGGTGATATTGCTGAGGATGTTCCAAGAGATCCTACACGGAGTGGTATAGGTTGGTCCAAGCCTGAGTCTAAAGATCCTCTAGGCCCTGACTGGGAGCCAGATGCCGAGGATGTGGTGGTCAGTGATGAGGCTCTCTGTGCTCTGGACTTGGCTCACGTAGTTCCTGACGAACCTCTTCGTTACCCCTTTAGTTTGGCAGCTGAAGGCCTGTGGAGAGGAGCGTCAACCCTAGACACAGTATCGTTGCTCGATTGTGACACTGATACGATCCTTCGAGTACGCGACGTGCCATCTGATGTTGCTGAGCCTATCGTCGAGAGGTTCGCCCGTCACTGCTATGAGATTTCACAACTAGCTCGGTTGATTTGGGCTGCTCGGAATGTTCTGTCTCTCCTCCGATGCCATGCTCGAAAGAGTGAGTTCGAGGAGCTATATTTCGACCGTGAACAATGTAATCAGTTGGCAGCTCGTTGCGTGCAGCAGAGGAGTGCTAAGTACGGTGAGGCCGTGGAGAATAGTAAAAGTCCTGTTCTCCGTCCATGTGGTCCTGTTTTTCGCTGTTCTGTCCGTGGAGTTCCGGAAGTTTCATATCTGGCATTCCGTACCGGCTCCGCAGCAGGTTCGGTGTCATTTTGTCCTGTCATTCCTAAGGATACTCCGACAACATTCTTGAGGACCCTTATCATCCGTACTGCTCATCGTGAGACGAGGCATGGAAGCATTCCTGCTTCCGCTGCATTGATCACTGACTTTCACCTGCCATCTATTAATCAAGATGTGAGGAAGCTGGCCAAGGGCTGTTTCGTCTGCCAGATTGTTCGTGCCCGTCGTGTATGGACGGAGCCTCCGAGTGTTGGCAAGGGTCATGCTCTGCGGTTACAGTTCCATCAGCCTTACTATCGGGTTGGTATTGATTATTTCTCTCTGGGTGATCGCCGTAAGATCGTCAGTATTACATGTTTGTTCTCCGGACACTGTACGTGGTATAGAGTTCCGGCAGGCAAAGATGGAGAGCGTGAGACGATTGACGCGACTGTTGCAGTCCTCAGAAGAGCCCAACTCGAGAGGGGCGGAGTAAGGGAGCTCGTGTGTGATATGGCTTCTTATTTCGCTAGTGGTAAGTTCAAGGATCGCGTTGAGGAGTTGCTCGGTGCCACAGTTGAGCCGCTGAGTGCTCGCAGTCCCTTTGAAGGCGGAAGATTCGAAAAGCTCCATGATCTTGGAGCGAGAAAGATGCGAGTGTTGCTGCGCGGTTCTGGAGGCAAGGCGAGTATCCTCACTGATTTTGAACTGGATAATCTGTTATTGGAAGTGTGTTTTCTATTGAACACGCGTCCGACACTCTGGTACAGTTATGATGCCGAGAGTGGGAAGCAAAGTATCACACCAGATTTATTGTGCTTTGGATACACCAGAGTTTGTGGCAGGCAGTTCGGATTTATATCTAGAGAAGAGCCGATCCGACCAGCTCATGATGTGACGAAGATTCGACGTGAGTTTATCGCATACCATTGGCGTGCATTGAAGGAGCGTTCGCTCGGTGCTGTGAAGTCTAAGTGTCCGGCCAGTCAACACGCTAAAGATCTCCGAGTTGGCTCCGCGGTTCTTGTATACGCTCCCAATCGTAAGCTTGGGTATCCATGGAAGATTGGGCATGTGCTGTCATTTCGAGGAGACCATACTGTTGATGTTATCTATCCTGGGAAGGCACAGCGAATTGTTACTGAGAACATCTTCAATCTTGTGGTCGTGGAACATGACAAGTCTGGGGATGCACTAGACAACCCGGAAGATCCTATGTTCGACTGTGAACGAGAGTGTCATATGTCCCCAAGTTTAGTTGGTATGCCGCTTTGGATTCTTCTGAAGGTTAGAGGGCAACGTAAGAAGGCTTGGTATGCTGCGACTGTCATTAAAGTTTTCAAGAGCGGTCATGTCGAAGTGGATTGGCATGACGGAGTCTCAGTCCGGGAGCGACTTTGGCTTGATAGTGAAGATTGGCAGTTGCGAGAATATACCGATGAAGATCTACAAAGAGTCGAAGGTGAGAAGCGCAGGTCGGCGGACGGTTCTGAGAAGCAGTTCCGCCGAGAGGGGCGGGATGAGGATTGTGTTAATGGGCGAGCGAGCATAAATTAAGATATCATTGATGATTCGTTGTCGTTCATAGTTAGAGCACTGCGACTCATGGCCCATGCACGACTGCCCCCTTGTTAGTTAGAGTTTATTTGCGCCAACTGGCTCATTGGGTTCAAGTGTTACATCATAAGCACGATGTGACTTTAAATTATTTTTCTCGACTTTTTTCCAAATTTTGGTTTTTGTTCAAATTGACGAACAACTTTTCAAGATTCCAGTGAGCTTTCAAGAACTTGCTTAGTTCTTACTTGACATCTTGCTTAGTCTCATACTAAAGGTTCGTCTTCTGGTTAGCGGAAGCACAACAGTACTGTAGCGTGAGTGAAATGTCGCGTAAGGAGGGGTGCTCCCGATAGAGACATGTTACACAATTGAAATGCGCGCGCCCGGTCAACGGTTTTCGAGTGCTGCAAAGCCGAAACCGAAAGTGAAATAACCTCGATTTAGGCCATAAGGGTCTACAACGTGGATTGGGTACGGCAGTGAGGCTGAGCTCAACCACGAGAGTTGAGAGGATTTCTCGGCGGGCCAGAAAAAAAATTTTCTCTTTAATTTATTCCCTTGAGTATGGCGATGCCTTCATACTGATCCCACCAACATTGGAGGACCGGACAGGTATGTCCGGCTTCCATCCCAGGTGAACCCTTCGCGCAGCTACGTGGGGGTCACAAGATCAATTGAAGGCATTGGTAGCACCTAATCTGGTCGGACCGTGTGTGGCCCAAACAGTTTGGGTCATTACGGTTAAAAAACCCACCGGGCCGACCGACCACGTTGCTACCTCCCGCAACCCCGTATTCGATGGGATTTCACTATTTAAAGGCTGAGGGACCCGTGAAACGTACTTGGAGTTTTTTAAGTTTGTTAGGTTAGGTTTATAATCTCAAGATTGGCTAATCTTGAGAAGTTAGTGAAAGAGGCCCTTCATGTCGCATAATCCAACTCATATTCGATGACATGAATCAGTACGATACCATGTTTCGGCTGTTGCACTTGATGGGGTTTTCCTGTCATCCTGAGCGTTTTATGAACCGAGTGCGCCGGAGGGCGTCGAAGATTACATTTCGTCCGCGATACTTTGCTCGTCGCCTAGTGGCGAGAAAGAGTGGCGGAGGTTCCCCATGCTTCGGTTCAACACGTTCTATACAACGAATGGATTATCAAAGTTGCCAGCATGACATTCTTGAATACAACGTTCTTATATCCATGCTGGTTGCGTAAGTTCCTCGACCGTCGTAGAATCATGCTATCACCAGCCTATGCAAGCTTTCCTGTGGTTGATGACAGCTGGAGGCCCTGAGGTTGAAGGGGTCCTCGTCCAATTACCACGTGCTTGATCACTGCAAGTGTTGATAGTCGACTATCATATGAAAATCATTCGGTAATCCCCCTTCTGGCTATATGGAAGTTACTATCGCCTTTGTTCATCAATAACCCGTGATGGTCTATTGTGAAGTACGACAGTAGGCGTACGAGCGATGATCACACACACCACAGGCTAACGCTAGCACGGAGTAATAGAGCCGGATCAGGATAGCTCATATGTCTCCAGTGGAGACTCTCCACTCGGGCATTGCTCTTGGATGGAATCGCACCATTCTAAAGTGCCGTATGTCAGTGTGAGGCGGAGCTATTTTGCGGGTCGACCTCGTCCAAGCGTGGCCCTTCACAGACCTCGCGTGCCCGTTCATATACCCTTAAAGGCTCCACAGGAGCGTCTGCCAGAGCCCTCTGGAAAAAGTCACCATTACGATAATAAGACATATTCAACCCGCCACCTGTTCTGGGGCACTCGATAATTTTGAGATCTGCTGCTCCAATATTTACGACCTGTTCATGCGCCATAGATGGAGTTGTTCTAAATCGATGAGGGTGAGCTTGGTCGAGATTGACTCTCAAACGAGGCTTCTCGGCTCGGAAGGACTTCAATAGATAGACAGGTACGATTGAAATAAAAGTCAACGATAGTATCCAAAATAAACGGCGGCGGTGGCACTTAGATGGGACCTTGTGCTCATCGACCCCTGCATTTCTGCCGGATGACATGCGCACCGCATTAGAATCGTAATTTAGAGGAGGCAGCGGATGCCCCTTGGATGTTGAAGAAGTTTCCACCATTGAAAAAGAAGTAACTGAAGACGCTGCCTCTGCTCAGCGCACGGAGTTAATCCCTGGTCGAAACCCGGCCAGTTACACGGCTCATGATACCCCGTCACCTACGACGGCACACTATCGCGCAACCCCACAAGGTTTGTGCGGTCCTCAGGAACGCTCCAACTGCTACTGACCGATGTGCGCACGATTGTAAGTTTTAACCCATCCCCTTGAGTAGATTGGAGTGCTTGTATTAGTCTCTCCGACTTGTGTCCACGACGATGAGTAAAAATGCAGTCAGGATATCGTTTATAAGTGTTTCTAGCAACAACAATCGAAAGCCTATATGATTCTAAGAACAATGATACCACTGACGCCGACAAAGTTGACTGGAGAAGCATGGGCAACACAAGTGGCGAGCGACTCGTCCGAAATCGAGTTGTGTCAAGACTTCAAGATGATGAAGGGATGACTAGTCGACTTCGACGAGATAGTCTAATATTTATCTGTCAGTCGTTAGCATTACCACGCTTCCTTAAATTCCCTCCTTAACCCACCCACTGCCGCCCGTAGGCTGGAACCATTGAATTGCTCGGTTAGATCTCTCTTCCTTCCGTGTTTCTTTAGTTACTATTCTGGAGATCTGTAGGTGCGCATCGTAGCTCGATGATTCGGTTTTTCAGCCAATGGTGGGGAAGTCTAAGTCATGGATCGGAAAGTCGCAACAAACTTGAACGTGTTGAGGAAAAGTAAGGTTGTTACGCGGAAAGAATTATAATTGGGCAGTAGAAGGGTTTCACAAACTACGAAATTTCGACAAAACCAAGTTGTGAGCGGACGATTGGTACAGTCATTGATAGCTATATCACTTTACAATCCAGCGGTACTCAGCTCGCTCTAAATGCGGCCAACTACTCAACTAAATTTACTCAGGGCAACTTTTTTGACAAGACTAGATAGGCTCGCGAGGTCTCCCGGGTCCCTACCAGCGCGTTCGTCTGCTGAACGGGACGCGCTGAAGATCGAAAGTATCAATCGAGTGGCACCGTGTGCGGATAGCCTGGTCGTGAGTGCTAGACGAGATCTGCCTGTCTGAACGGAGTTATGAGGGCAACTTGAGATCCCGTTCAAGCTTGAGATAGCACGCGACAGGAAAAATACGAACAGCTGGGTCACACAGAAAGCACCGATTAGACGAACAAGAGTATCGACCGTAGGGAAGCGATCAATCCTTCGAGATTATGAGACATGTCCGACCAACTATGTATATTTGTTCTGGGCAATTTTTTTGACCAGACTATATCTGCCACGCCCACAGAAATTGCACATCTCGGACTCAACGATCAACCATCCAGAGGGCTTATTCATACTGAGGCATACTTGGCTTTGGGCTGATATACTGAGGTATTGATTGTACTATGCTGTGGATGGCATAGACTGTGCTATAGACTGACGTGGTCTTGTCAAGGTCGATATTGTAAATAATGCAACTCTCTTCCGAAGACCTCGTCCGGTCTCCGCTCCTCTCTGAGGCCTGTCATTACAGACTACCACAAAAAATATACCCAGGTGCAGCCACTGCACTGCAGTGAGTAACACCCAGACTCTCTCAGGTGGCTCTTCGAAAGACTCAAAGAACGGT